TTAGTCCTGAATCGCCCGTTGTTTTAATTATGATTATTGCTGAGTGCCATTCAAAATTTGACCAATAGACGAACGGTGCTAATGATGAACGCTGTTTGAATTTTGTAATGGCGGATGACTTTGTAAACAATGACAGCTTCTGAACTGTTGGGTGCATACGTCAGAAAACAGAGTAAGCAATAAAAGCCCAAAAATAACGGATACGTCAAAGTTGTAGACAAGCTGTTATTGTCAAGTTTAAATTGCGCTGTAACAAAATTAGTATATTTAAACAAAGGGGCATACAAATTCAAGATGGCAAATATTGCGGCGTGTACAGCGGTCGCTTTAATGTTAGGCAAGATATTAGACCACTGATGTAAGCTTGGCTTAAAAATAGGGCCTTTAAGACAAACCTAACACCCTATTGTTCTTAGAAACCAATGGTTTTGCATGCCATAACATCCTGTCACCAGTCTGAAATTTGCTTCGTCATTTACGCATACTACTGAAGTGGTTTTGCTGGTCCTTTGGCATGCATAAATGATTAGCGTTTGCCGTTTAATTTAATGCATCCTAAGTAATTGACATTTCCTGAATTCCACAGTGACACATTCATAAACAGACTGCATTCACACACATTCGCACAAATTCCCAAATCAGATCTAATTGAAAATGGAAATCGTACACCCGTTGGGTTGGTTAAGCCACACTGCCTCGTTTTATGCTTGCCATTTGTTTCCAACGTTTTCCACCAAATTATGAGACGTGAGTCTGTCCCTTTTTTCAAACCTTGTAGCTTCTGATTGGCGTTGCTTATCTTGATAAAAAAAACATAAAAATAAGGCAGTTTTAGCTGGGAAACTAAAGATTTAATCGCAGTATTCTTCAGTGTTTCACAGAATCCGGAAAATTTGGTAGCGTTTGTTGGAAGAAACTCGGAATTATTTTTGGTTTTAATCCTTCTGTGGATGACTTGCGCGCCAAATTTTATTCGAATTCGTTTAAAAGCCAAACGTGGGACTTGCACGAAATCGATACCACTGCATTGGATTTTCTCACGACTTCTACGCATTATTCGTGTTTTTGATCACAAGCACACACTTTCACGATTTCGCCGTATCTTATGATAGACACGCAATCGTTTTTGACAAGATTCACTTGAAAACAGCGAAGATGGAACTCGTTAAGTTTGCACAAAGCTCCACCGAGCTTGTGTCCTAATTTGGTACTCTATGGCTACAGTTGACGTTATTTTAAACAAAACCTAATGCAATTCACCGTTTCCTTTTTCTCCCAGTTGATTTCGGGACAGTTTCCTAAGTTGGGAAATCCCACGATGGATTGTAGGGTTTATTAATACCTTGTTCGTTGATTGGCTTAACACCTGCATTGAAAAGGAGTATTCTGATTGGTCTTCTGATGACAATTTCATTGGCTTAGACAATTACTTTAGCTCTAAATCCATTGTTGATGGTAAAACATCGATTTTGGAAAACTTTGCATCCACGTGCTTCCACCTGGATAAGGACACACCTGTTAAATGCCGAGCGCGTGGAAGATTTATCCTAGTTCTAATCTATTAATGTACACAATTCTTACTTACACATTTAAGATTTGCGACTAACTCTAAACTACCTCCGTGGGAACAATCATTAAGAGAAACCGTAGACGAGGGCAGGTCATTTTTGGTGGCCTTTCATCTCAGCGCCAGCTCCGTGACTCTACGCTCACTAAACTACTCTTGCCAATAGCGTCAGCAGTAAATTTAAACAAGTACCGTTTTGGCCCACATCATTGTTATCATCAAGGAGGGTATTTTTTCATTCGAAGAACAAACAATGGAAGGCAGTCAAAGTGATTGCATTTTTAAAGGTCAGATTAACCGCTTAAAATATTTCCCTTTTCAGTACGAAATTTGGTTCCTCAAACAACAACACTTATTTTTAATTTGGTTTAACGATTCATTAAACTGTCGAAAACAATCTAGAAACTGGTTGTTTTTCGTATTCAATGCTTAGAATCCTTGGATTAAGCAGTTGCGGTTTGGTGTTCACGCGTCTGATGCCTGCCGAAACTTCATGCATTTCACTCGCTAACGGGAGGTTCAACCTGCTGTAGATGATCTCATCGATCTTGTCGTGGTTCTTTCTTGTAGGCGTTTTACCGTCCAATTGTGTCTTCACGTCAACACGATGTCTGCAGTTTGAGATATGTAGGTAGGTTTCGACCGTCACCTCGGTTCACACACATAAATGGTTACTCACATTCCTTGACAGTGAATTGTGCTGGTTCACGTCTGTTAGCCTAGCCGTCGACTACTTCGACTCGCCATCCTGGCTATCAACGTCAGCATATCTGTAACACAGATCCCAGCTGTTCCCGCTTAAGACCTACAGCTAAATGTGAACGGCCACAGAAGCATTATGAACGATTGATCTTTCGTCTCCTTGGGTTCTTCTTACTCTTTTCTGAGTGCATGGTTTTGGACAGGGCCCTAATAACAATGATAAATCATTTGTCCCGTGGTATGTGAATTTGTGTTTACGAGGAACCCGACACGCACAACCAGATTGATTGCACGATTTTTGATGTGGTGCATGAGATATCAACGCATATGTTGCGGCCAGATCTGACTCCATTTACTCTTCGACGAATAACAAGACCGAATATGAAGCATCACCTCATCCGTCAATGTTCATGTGCATTAATTGGCCGATAGTGTGATCGGTTGGTGGTCATTTATTCATGTACTGCCGTGAAAGAGATCATCTAGTGCCGTGCTTGGATCATGTCAAGCTCAGCCAATCCATTATTTCTGTGCATTTGGATGATCTAAAATAAAAATATGCAGCCAACTAAAGACAAGGACGGGTGCAGAGCAGTATATAATTGGCTCGGATGGATGGCGACTGGTGTGCGGTCACGGTTCGTGGTTGGCATTTTGATTGGTCGTGTACCGTAATTTCCTTTCAGATCATGCCAAGTCGAAAACTGAGCACTTTTAAAATTCAAAAACATTTTAAGTGACAGCTAATTTTTTGTAGGTTTGATGAATCCCACGGTTTCCCTACAGATCCCTTGCTCAGGTATTTGAGCACGATCTGATTCTCACTAAACTGTATTATGTGAAATTTCCTACACGCAACTGGTCGTAGCAACATTGGCGCACGCGCTGTCAGGCAACTACCACAAATTATGCATTTCTTGTTAAGAAAACCTTATAAATTGCCACAAATCCAGCAGCTACGCGCAGAAATTACAAGAAAATCGAAGAATTTTTAGAAGTTTTTACACTGATCACTAATTGGTACATGTTTTTCAAACCAACACTCTTTTCACACCATCGAGCGTTCAAGTTGCAGCCTGTACAATCTGAGATTTTAAATCAACAGAATATTTAAGTTTATACGCCAAAACCCTTATGTGTTTAAACTTCACGGGCGTTGTTAGTGTAGCAGAGAATAAAACTGAAAAGCAGGTATGCGTTTGTAGAATTCAGTAAGGAGTGGAAGCCAAATTTTAATTGCGTTAGTCCGATCCCTGGAATTAAGCGTTTACGGTTAACAAAATGGTGGTATTTGCTTAAATCACACACGCCACCTGCTGCACGCAATCCGCTGATAAATTTAAACAAAGCCTTTACACTGAAGCCTAAAGTTCTGCTTAATTCGCAAGCTTGCGTGTCTTTGAGGGCATTGTACCTCGCCATGGTTTTGGTTTCCGGTTAAATTAAAAATTTACTGCCTGTTAAAATCTTGCAGCACTAAATGAATTGTCTATGATCATTCAATGTTGCTCATTTAACACATCCAATAACCAGGAAGGTCAACAATCATGAATTCGAAAATATGTCATTAATCAGATATGCTACGTCCCGTTTATAAAATTTTTTCGACTTGTCAAGTGTATTAGTTTTGACGGTTAAAAACGTGTAACGCTACTATAGTAGTAGGGGTTAATTCATCGCCATAGAGTGGTCGACTTGAAATTAGTAAAGTGGTGTCCGTGGCAGATCCAAAACTGGAAAAATTGATGGTTTGTAATCTTTTTTAAACTCAACTCTAGGTAGTGAGTAGTCAAGCAGATGACATCAAAAGGGGTGTCCATGATTGAGGTACAGTTGAATTTCACATTATACCTCCATTTAACTCACTTTCCCTTCATTAGTCACTGGAATTATCTAGTATCGTAAGACAATTCAAAGAGTGTTACATTCAAACAAGCAATCCAGGGACGTCATGGCGATAAAACTGCAATTTAAGGGAATAGGTGAAGAGCATGAAGAAATTATAAGCTCCTAGTAGGAAAAGAACAATAGTGTTGTCATGTTTGCCATTGTTAAGCGCAAGAAAAGCGTGAATTAGCCTCGCTAGCTGTGGACGGTCATGCATAGCAGCACAAAGGTGACTCCCGTTTAATAATCGCCTGCTTGCAGCAACTTAAAAAAATTTAATTGAGAACTTTAGCCTCTAGACCGTGAAGCGTACAGCCTCCCTGAGAGGGAATTGGCACGAAAGTTGACCAGATGTGCTTCCGAAAAATACTAAATTAAAAAGAGGAAATACGTCGTGAGTGGTAAGAGATAGATGCCGAAAATATTGCATCATGTTTAGAAATTATTGTCTAGGTGTAGCATACAATTCTTTGGTCATGAATTTAAGAATCATTTCTAGAAAAACATATTTTTTTATTTAAAGTATTTATAGACCTACGGAATTACATATTTGAGGTGAGCAGATGAAAATCTAAACGTACAGATGTGCTACAAATAAGATATCTTTAAAGAAAAAAATATAATTGACAGCATTAGGCTTCATCATCTTTTTTTGTTCCACCAAATTTAAAATACTGCATATGAAGCTCAGGAAAATCTGTTATGATTTCGTGGATATCGTTCGCAGATATTAAAATTTCATATATGTTGCAGTGCATAGAATCACAGCAATACGTTTACTTCTACCTTCTGCCGCAAGAGTGAATAATCAACAGCCTAAGAGACTAGAGTGACTGAATGTCGCTACCAGATGATTGGCAGCAAGTGGTTTATTAGCATAATAATTGCCAGAATAACGTTTTTTTGTCTTCGGGAATATTCAAGTAAGTGGGAAGTGTTGCTGCATCATTTCACGTGTCTCTAAGTGCACAAAATTAATGCAAACCAAGGTCTGAAGTTGGCTAAAATTAGAAAAAAACTACAACTGAGGTGACTGGACTTGATATATGTGAAAAAACAGGTTATATTGTGTTGCTAAAAGATAGTAATGATCTAGACAGTACGTTACAAGTCTCTGTTGAAGCACTATTGATTTTGTGGGTTTAAAGAAATAATCCTCAAGGCAAATCACATCACGTTTTGAGCAAAAGGTGTGACCAAAGTCCGTATTCAGAAATTGTTTAAATTCTTCATGCACCATCAAAATGAACGTTCAAAAAAGAGTACTTTGAATAAACGAATACATGACAGACACCATCGAGTCAATAAGCAATATATTTTGGAAGCTCCAAATAGTACATGCAAAATCGGTTTATATTAAAAAACACACTTAACGAGTTAAAAAAGCTCCGGTTTGCTTAGGTAGAACACACTGAACCTTCTCCTCCCCTCATAAATACCTAGTTCACTTTCACGTAACCTGCGTAATTATGATTAAATAAATAACCACAAATTAAGGAATCAACTTTTAGATTTGCCACTCTGTAATAAAAAATTCAAAAAAACTAACTCATTACTCCTCCTTGATAATTACACTGTGCATGCCTTATTCAAAGGAGACTCCCAGGAAATCTAAATGCTAAACAAGGAGGGGCTTATAACACTTTACACACATTTGAAAAAAAAACACTATGCTGCAAGATAGTATAAAGTTTTAGAATTGTGCAAATCAAGAAGCTGTTATATCTTTTTATCTTGTTATGCATTCTATGCTTGAACCATGGTATAACATGACAGATCGCCAGTGTATTTAAACAACTGAAGTGGGCTTTTGAACTGTGAGTCACTTGTTTGACTATCTTCTCATATTGTGTGCTTCGTGTGCTCTTGTATGGTTTAATATATCTAATGGAGGTTCGTAGAAGGAATGTAGACATACACGATCATATAGATCGTGGATTTACTTCGAGCTCAAGCACTGGTACTGATAGCCACTCCTTTTATTTGGTAGAACCTCCTCAAGTATCTATTCATTTGTGGCATTGGATTATAATTTTTTTTACCACTTTGTTATGCGTCACCCTCATTCCGCTGCACTCAACGTCATGCGGCTCGAATATCTCAAGTGCACTTGACATAAATTCCTCTTTTCAGGAGGTTTTTGCCCGTAAGCACCTGAAGTTTGTTACCGGTTTGGGTCCCCGCACTGGTGGTTCTGTGAATAATGAGGTTCACGCACGAAAGTACTTGCGTTTAGAAATTGAGAAGATTGTTCGCTTAGCCGAGACTTCGGGGCTTGTTGCGAAATTCGAGGAGCAGATCTCTCGCCCATCATATTTTCAAACTCATGCGCACATAACTTCCTACGCCAATATTCCCAATTTGATTCTTCGGTTGCACGATCCACGTGTGAAACGAACGTCACCCGCCCGTTCAATTCTTGTGAACTGCCATTATGACACAGTTTCTCAGAGTCCAGGCGCATCAGATGCGTTTGTCGGCTGTGCAAATTCCCTTGAAGCATCCCGTGTTCTTGCTCATGGCCTTCATAATTTAAATAATGATATCATATTTCTATTTAACGGTGCTGAAGAAAATATTCTGCCGGCGAGCCATGCATTCGTCACTCAACATCCTTGGGCTGCTGATGTGGTCGTTTTCATCAACTTGGAAGGCGCCGGCGCTGGCGGCAAACTACTGGTATTCCAGAGTGGTCCCGGACCAGCTAGTTCGGCTTTAATTAAGTTGTACTCATCTTCTGCGCGTTACCCCTTTGCCTCTGTAGTCGGAGAAGAGTTGTTCCGCTTTGGACTCATTCCTTCGGACACAGATTTCCGGATATTTCGTGATTATGGGTCCCTCCCTGGCTTGGACTTAGCTTACATTGGTAACGGCTATGCTTATCACACCTGTTACGATACGGAAGAACGCATTTCAACGTCGTGCCTCCAATTGGCTGGGGATAATCTTCTGCAGCTTTTGAAGTTAATGGTTCAAGACCCCACCATTGATTATATCGACAAGCTTGGCTACACAAAAAAGGCGCACCCCCGAAAGGAAATTTTTTCGCCTGAAAAAGCATCCGGGAGTATCCATTATTTTTCCAATTCCCCGAGTTACTCGAATTTTTCCCGGCTTGTCTACTTCGACGTGCTGGGATACTTTGTCTTCAAATATCCTTGGGATTTCGGTCGGATTTTGCACTGGGGCGTTGTTTTTGCAACCACATTGTGGTTCTTTGCATTACAAAAGCGTGTTGGTGGTACTTACGCGGGGCTTTTGTTAGCCACCTTAATTCAAACCATATTTTTTGTTAGCGGCCACCTTTTTGCACTATTTGTCGGCTATGTAATTCACACCTATGGATGTCGGATGTCATGGTACACCAACCGATGCAATATTTTCGGCATTTATCTCTTACCAATCATAACTTACTTCTTCTTCTTTCACTCAGTGTTTTTTAGAATTCCAAGTGGTCCACTTTGGTGTTTATTCCCGCTCAAATCTTTGTTTCTTCGTAGTGGCTGGTCGGATTCGACAAGTATAAAAGCCCGATTGGTCGAGAATGACTTTTTTAAAGGCACTGTCCTCACAATCAATGTCATAACGGTACTTTCGTTATTATACGATAGCCCTGCTTCCTACTTTACCATACTTTGGTGTGCGTTCACCATAACTTCTCGTTTCGTATACTTCCTGATCTTCGGCGATTCTGGTAGCCATTACTTTGCGAAACTTCTTATTTTGCTTTTACCTCCTTTGATGGTCTTCCATGCATCGTCGGTTTTCACGCTTTTTGAGGTCTTTATCCCAATTATGGGACGTTCTGGGCAAGTGGCGCAGCCGGACGTAATCATGTCTGGTTTAATCGCCTTCTCATCACTGCCTGTCTTATTGTATTGTGCAGACGTGGTTCATTTAACTCCCCCTAATGTTTCCCGTGTTCTGCGCCAGCTACTCACTAACCTGTGCATCACTTTTATCGTGCTCGTACACACGTCGTCTTTGGGGTTCCCCTACGCCGTTCTTCCTAGCACCGACCAGCACTTAGTGCCTCCTAGCCTTCAGCGCGTTGCCGTCATTCACGCTAATCGTCAGTTCCGTGAGAACATCTCCCATCCAGGTATCTCAAGCAAAGACTCGGGCGTCTTCGTCTTCCCCCTGGATGCAAATCGCTTCCATTACTACCACCACCCACCCTCGTCGAGTCCGAACCCGTTGCTGTTGAAACTGCGCCGCTATCTGTCCCCTGGACCAACAGAGCCATTCTACTTCCCCGAGCTCCAACAACTGGAGCCATATACGTATCGACGAGACCTACCGTATTGCGGTGTTCCACTGCTATATCCTCTGTTGAACGTCTTTGACACGATGTATTACCTCCCAGCGCCCAGGCACAAGTCTCCGTCAGCAACGCTTAGCATTATCGAGCAGCACTTTGAAGTGGTTGCAGATCGCGCGTCGGTTAACCTCACATTCTCCGTCGATTCTTCGGCACCTCTCACGCAGTTGTATTTGCGAACTTCGCCCCAATTTGTACAGCTGGAGAGCTGGTCATTTGCTCCCGATGGCAGCTGGCCAACGCCCGTGCCTGTTCCCAAACGCACCTCTTTCGAAGACCCTAATGCACCGAGGTCAGCGCACTTTTATGTGAATCACATAGATCCCTCTGCAGCCACCACGAAATCCGGTCGATGGCCACAGCCATGGGTTTTTTGGTTGCAGTTCACAGTCCTCTCCACTGCCCCTGATGACCGTCTAACTGAGTGCAGCAACTGTGTCGACATCGCCGTGGTTAGTCAGTACCTGGATGACCGTGTGCCGAATGGCGTTTCTGAGCAAGTCGAAAAGATACTTCAACGTCTCCCGCAGTGGGCTGTTCCCATGCACTGTGTTTCCTCATATGACCATTGTCGTGTAATTCTGCGAGATTCCAAAATTGATTTCGTCAAACTTATATAACTTTCCCAAGTGGTTTTTTGATTACATTTTAAGTTTAATACAACAATTTCATACGCGCATACCCTTCTTTTCGCGTTCGTCGACGTGGCGAGCACTTTGAGTGTGCTTGAGAGTGTTGTTACAAGCTGTGTGTTTATTTGTCTAGATGAGTCACACCATCCTCTTGCTGCAGTACCAGGCGAAGAAACCCGACACCCGTGTTTGGACCGACTTCGAGACTGTAAACCAATGCCTGGAGGGGGTTTGCAAGATCTTCGAAGAGCAGCTGAAGCAGCAGAACCCCTCGGCTCCCACCATCACCTACGATATCGCTCAGCTATTCAAGTTTATCGACAAGCTGGCCGACTTGAGCTGCCTTGAGTTCCATGCCCCAACAGGCACGTATGTTCCTCACACGAAGGACTGGATAAAGGAGAATATTTACGCACTTTTGCGTAACCAGGCGGGACAGTAACAATCAATTCCTGTGTGAAGTTGTTTGTAAAGATACGCACTATGCCCTGTTGCTTAAATTAAACGCCTTTTTTTAACGCATCCTGTGTTTGGTTTTACCGAGAGAACGCGTTGAAAGTTCAGCGTCTTTCTCCGCATCTCTAAAGTCCAAATATCCTTGTGTAGGGTGGCCGAATAAGACGGAATGGAAACGAAGGAAACATGGCATGGACACACGGATTTGGAAACAGAGTGTGACATAAAGAACCCCCTTCAGAGTAAGCCCAGTTAGTTATCTGTTGCCCTAGCTTCTATGTCACCACTTAACCGCTCGCATCTAAAAGGCATCGTAGGTTGAAGCGTTAGTTTTGGGTCTGGAATCACCTGTGGTCTTTGTGCCTAAGCCCATCTCCTCGATCGTTATTGGTTGGTTGCAAAGGCAAAAGGTCTAATGTCGATCGATGGTTGCTTGTTGGTCGAAAATTATCCTAGCCTTAATTGAAGTATGATCCTAGGCGTGGAAATGTTCGAGTGACGATTGTGGCTCGCGACGCTTGCAAATCGCCCCGTGGTTGCGGTATTCAGAAGCAATAGGGCACGCGAATTTCGTTACTTTTCGTCCCGATTTGAGTGCCCCTCTTAGTCCGTTTAGTTGTGCCAGTTGAGATTAACTTGTAACGCTCTTGCCTTCGCAAACTTAGTCACTTTGGGCCCAATTTTTCCACATGATGTCTGCAAAAAATCGTACCACTTATGAGTAATTTTGCCAGTAAAGTGTCAAATTTGGGGCTAATAATGCCTCCATCAAGTCACATTTGCAACCTCGCGTCGTTGCTTTTTGACAGGACACCTGACCTGAACAATTCGTTTAATGGATGTAGTACCTACGGGCCTCGTGTTCACCTTATTGGTTCAGGACAACCAGCATGTGATTCGCGTTGCTCGCGTCCGAGGCTGCGGTCGTTTAGTCGATCGCGTGGTTGGACTAATTGCCTTTGACAACAGGCATTCCTTTTTTCGTAGGTTTTAGCTTCAAGAGCTATCTGAGGGAAGAGGTGCTGCAATCGTCTCGCCGTCGAAATGAGGTCAACAGCGTGCAAGAGCAGATCTCCGGACCCTTCCGCAACCGTGTCTGGAAGTTTCTCTCGATACCGCAGTACTTCGAGTCGGTGAGTTGTCCAGCTGTTCAAGATTTAAACAAATCCCTCGGATTCATCTCATAAAACAGTCGTGCCGCCACCATCTCTGGTGCTCTTGACCGTCTAGAGGTAACTGGGGCTCTAAACGAGTGGGGTTTCCACACGCTACTTCAAAAGTTGGCGTTGGTATAAGTTGCACGATTCATTTGCTCAAACACAGCTTCCAAATTGCCCCAATTCCAACAATACACAGCATTGAAACCTTGTGCACGAAGTTGGGTGGCAATTTCAATCCTCTTTTCTTTCTCCTAGTTCATGTTCTACGGTCTGCTGCAGTGCCTTGACCATATCCTCATGGTGTACACCTTTTTGCCACTGCGGTGCATCGTAACCCTCTTCTCCCTCCTCACCTCCTCTGCATTCAGTCTTGTTGGTCTGTGCATACCGTCTCTTGGGTGAGCTTTTTAACTTTTTTTCACAGTTTGTGAGTTTACATGGCAATCGTGGTGTCGGTGGGGTGTGTTGGAGTGGTTTGGAGTTCGCTTTCCCCTCCAAAATCCCCTTCAAGTGGTCCCCATCGAAGAACTGGGTGCGTCGACGAGGTCGACGTCACCACTAACAAACTGGACGTCTCCGTAGACGCCAGAAATTCGTAGAGCAGATTTCGGTTAACCGATGGTAAAAGTTCTTACCATCGTAAAGGAACATGACTGCAACCTCCCTTCTCATTTCAGACGAAGGGAATTAACGCTGTATGCCACGGATGCCAAAGAATTGGTAAAGTTCTCGTTCGTCTGTATCTGCACTCTGTTCCTCTACACATTCGACAGCTCCATCGCCTATCACGAGATCAGAACGCAGTCAGTTATCAAGATTTACATATTCTTCAATTTACTCGAGGTAAGGTAGCTTGTTAGTACATGGGGGTAGTTCATTCTGTTAGGCTTATGAAGTTATTTGGGCAGGTTTTTTAGTACAAAAAATAGGGGACAGTGAACTTGTCCATCGTTTTCCACGACTTTGCGCCATTTCTCAAGTAACCTAAGAATTTCGTCGCGAAAGAAATCTGAAGACTTCGAGGCAATCGAGTAGTTTTGAACTGTTTATTCACTAAGGCGTGCTGCTGCATTTTTCGGAACAAATGATAGTCAGATGGAGTCAAGTCTGGTGAATACGGCGCGTGTGGAAGAACGTCCTATCCCACGTTCAAGAAGA